TTGATGACATGTAAATATTGTCATATTTTCACATCGGATGTCTAGCGCATTTCGCGATATTTCGTATATTTATAGATATCCCTTGTACATTTTACTCCGACTTCGATGTTTTTGATATTTTGCAGGAAAATTGGAGCTTTGGACAAAAATGAGCAATTTCTGAGGAAAATACATGATACGGAGCCAACCCGAAAATATTCCGAGTACCAAAGAGTCAAAGAGGAAATGCTTGCAAGATATCGTCATTACGAGCTCCATAACTTTACAACACAGGTCCAAATAATTCTTACTATACATCATTGGAAAGCACATTTCAATAGCTACGCACAGACATAAAGATCACTCTAATCCGACATTGCATCAGAGAGTTATGATGAAAATACTATGAGTCTAATGACGAACTGTGCAAGAGTGAGCTATTACGAGCTACATAACTTTCTCCATACAAATCCAAATTACGTGTGCAATCATTGGAAAGATCTCTTCAATAACTACACGTGAACACCAAGATCACTTCAATCAGACATCGGAGCCGAAAGTTATGAGGAAAACACTATGACTATATACTTTGGTGACGACAAGAAAACAACTTTCCCCAAAACATGGAGCTCGGAAATCATGGAGGAAAATGAGGAGGAAAATGGGGAAATGTCTTTCTCCTTTTCTTGGCTATAAAAGGGGCACGAATGAGAGGTTTACAGGAGGCAATTCACACACTTAGAGAGAGAGTTTTGAGAGCAAAATCCAAGCTTTCAAGGGTGATTCAAGAGGAGAAGAAGGAGAAGAGGAGGAAGAGGAAGATCATGCTCCTAAATCACTAAGCCTCTCTAACTCTATCTCTCTATTCCTACTCTTGGATCATCCTTTTGATATGTCTTGTTGTTTCTCTTGAATTTGTGTGAGAACTCCCTTCATGAGTTTGGAATTTGAGTTTGTATAAGAATTTATGTGTGTATTGAATGCTTTATCTTGTTGGTTTGATGTTTTGGTTTGAATGAATGTTCTTAATGCTTTGATTCTTGTTGGCCCCTTGAATCAACTGATTCTAGAGTTTAGTTTTCATAGTGATATGGAATTAGACTTGGAAAACATTCATTTTGATTAGATAATTCTACCATTTGGAGATGGAGAGGTTGCCTTGGATAGGTGACATATAGGTGATCAATCCATTCTTGTAAGGATGGTGAATTTGTCTATGAATTGTGATAGGAAACTATATGCTCTTAGTGTCTTCAACCTATTAGGAATCGAGAGATCGGTAGGTTGAATGATTCTAGGAAGAGAGGTGAGACTCGAGAGAGTAATCCTCGACAAAAGACCTTGAATTCTCCAAACCGAGCTAGTGAGATACCAAGTAAACATTAGACACGATCCTTGTACAACCGAGAATTCCCAAACTTATGATGTTTATCCCACCATTTGTATATACCCACCATTTAAATTCTCGTTTTAGTAGTTTAGTGTCACCACCACCACCATATTCGCCATCGACCGAAACTCAAGTAGAAGTCCGATTCTTATAGATAGTGAGTATATTCTTTGTGTTCCGGTGATTCCCGACGAGTCTCTAGAGTTCGACCCTAGATACTACAATTGACCCGTATACTTGTGGAAGTCGTGTCTAGGTAATTAAAACTAGATGATTCCGAACCTAGTTCGCGACGCATCATTTATTTAGACCAAATATTATTATGTTTCTCTAGAATATTCTTAGGAATACTATATATGTGGGGTTTGAAGTTTGTAAAATAACAACAAGAACACACAAGAAAAGAAATACAAAGAAGAAGTGTTTACGAGTATTTCTCCTCCTCTCTTCTCGTTCATATATACTTATAAAGTATAAAGAAAAAAGCCTAAGCGCTTACATCCCCCAAGGACGATAGTTTTGTCCGTCTGAACAAAACCTGGGCAAAGAAGATTGTAGCAGCCCGTTCTTCCGTATCCATCACGTTGTTTTGAGTTTCCAGATTTTTGTTAGGAAAAAGATATATAGTCCAGAGGAAATAAATAACTAGAACACTTGAATTCGTAAAGACTTACTATCCAGTAAATAAAAAAATCTCGTATTATAGTCACCATACAAGTCTCGATAGACCTGTATATATATATATATATATATATATATCAATGTATTAGCAAATCGTAAAGGGAAAAAGAAGGTAGTATAAATCACAACTAGAGAGATATAAAATAACCATATATGAGAAAACTTTAAACACAAGTCAACAAGACAAATTAGAGTAAAACCTGCCAACCAGCTTCGATGGTGTTGAGATTAGAACCACTCCCGGCGACAACCCAAGTCTAGGCTAAACTGAACTCACCAGGTTGTTCGACAAAGGGTTTCCAGACGTTGATGAATGATTTCGAACCGTGAAACTTTCCCGTGACCATATATGATATGGCGTACTAAAACAACTCCAAAGACAAAAATACCATACGAGGATTAAGTAATGATAGATGGAAAAGTTAATCAAATGCATATGTATATACCTCATGAATGGCAGCTGACAGATCACTTGATACGACTTGGAAGATGTTTTTATAACTCTTTTTTCCAAAACTCTCAAGGGAAGTTGATCGTAAGAGATCTTCTTCCTTTGTTCTTCTGATCGGAATAGTGTTTTCTGGGCACTCCCCATTCATTTGCCAGAGCTGAAGTGTAGGTTGTGGCTCAGCCTCGGTGTTTTCTGTGATATCACCTTCCGGTTCGGAGCTTGGTCTCATCTGCTTCATAAAATTCCCAACAGAACAAAATAAGTACTACTTAGTATGGATGAAAACCCAAATGGAGGGAAAAAAAGGAAACCTTTATAGAACCTGAATGTTGTGGTAACTGAGAAAAGGATCATCAAAAGTCGGTTGGTTGGCAATAGGAACATAATCTATTATATCTCCATCCGAACTCTGTTCATGTATGTATATATATAAAAGAAAAATGTTAGCCTCAACGGTTTCAAGTCTGATGCTAGGGTTTCACATAGTAGAATATAAACCAAAAACAATCGCATAGAATAATACAGTTCAACATATGTACGTATGTACAACACTATATGTACGTATAATACTATACGTACGTACGTACATACCTCGATGGATTGAACAACATGCTTGTTAAGTTTTTTTTTTGTTAACTGTAATTTTATAAAAACAACCAAATATACAAAGTTCAACCGCAGTTACATATTCATCAGTGGCTCAGGTTAAGTAATGGGCAAGTGCTGTCGGAGTGAAGGAGGACCGCAGGATAGAAGGCCAAAGCGCCGAAGAGTAGCGGCATCGGAAGAAAAGGTAATCAAGAGTTTCAACATGTTCATCGCAAAGCACGCAAACATGAGAAACATCCAAACCCCAAGCAATTTGTCGATCCTGCATTGGAAGTCTGTTAAGAGCAGCCAACCAGAAAACGAAAGAGTGCTTTGGGATAGCACCAGCAAACCAAACCACCTTATGCCAGGAAACAACTGGAGACACTAATCGATTCTGCTTCCAAGCCTTGCTAGTGGAGAAGCGAGGCATAGCCGTAAAAGAGAAAGTATCAGACCAGTAGAAAGAGTCATTGGGACCTGAGGGTGAGGGGGGTATAAGTTGTAGTAGCTCTCCATAGATACGCTCAACGGTGTCACTCCTTGGTGGGGGAAGGCGCCAACCCGTTGAGGCGGAGAAGACATCTGCAACAGATGACAGTCGCGGAATGCCCAGCTGGAGCGGACCCGAGTCCCCAAGTGCCATGACCAAGGGCCCCGAGGGAAGCCAACTATCAAACCAGAAGCTGCATCTCTTACCGTTGCCAAGCCGACACCATAAGAACTGTCGTGCCAGAGGGCGGAGCTTAAGAAGGCGATGCCAGGCCCAGCTGCCTGTACCTTGAGCTCCCACCAACCAGAAAGGTTTCCGCTTGATAAGGTTCTCCCAAGTCCAAGCAACCTACAAAGATCCCCCTCTTACAAACAAATTCCAGATAAGTTTTAGACAAAGAATTTTGTCCAGACTCCTATCCTCTTGATATTTAGGCCCCCATGACGTTTAGGCTGACATATACTACTCCATGCAATCTTTGCACCGCGAGCCGATTCTGCCGTACCTTTCCATAAGAAGGTCGAACATATGCGTTCAATCACAGTCACACAACTTTTAGGGATAATAAACGTCGAAGCCCAAAATGTTATGATGCTATATATCACAGATTGTATCAGCTGTAACCGTCCCGCAAACGACAAGTGCTTTGCAGTCCATGAGTTGAATCGAGCATGGACAGTCTCCCGTAAGATGGCATAATCCCCCTCTCTAAGTTTCGAGGACGACAGTGGTAAGCCAAGATAACGAACAGGTAGAGAAGCTTGTGTAATTCCCAGACTTGCTGTAATTTTCGAAGCCTGAGTCGGGTCGTCACCGTCTAGAAATATACAGGTCTTGCTCCGATTAACTTTTAGGCCAGATGAAGTATAGAAGCCATCAAGGATATCAAGAACGGTGGCCAGAGAATGAGACGAGCAGTCCAAAAATACTAAGATATCATCAGCAAAACAAAGGTGAGATACCAAGGGACTCCGACATTTCGGAGGCAGAGATATACGACCATCAGAAGCAGCAGAGTTCAACATTGGAGAGAGGACATTCATTGTTAAAACAAAGAGATAGGGAGAGATGGGATCACCTTGCCTTAAACCTCACTCTCCTTTGAAGAAGCCCGTAATCTCACTATTGAAAGAGATGGAATATGAGGCTGTAGTCACGCAATCCATAACCCAAGACGTGAATCTTGGCGGGATAGCCATCGCCGTGAGAATGGTGTGGATAAACCGCCAATCAATTGTGTCAAAAGCCTTACTAAGGTCAATCTTAAGTAAGGCCTTTGAGGGCCTGCCCCTTTTATGAAGTCCGAGATGAGCTCTGTTGCTAGAAGAATGTTCTCGGTGATAGAGCATCCCGGAACAAAAGCTGTTTGATTCGGGAAGATTGCTTGATCTAAGATAGTGCGTAGCTTCTTGGCCATAATCCTGGAGATAACTTTGTAGGTGGTGTTGCAGCACGAAATCGGACGGAAGTGTTTCAGGTGCTCGACAACCCGATGCTTGGAGATAAGAGCAATCAGAGTCGAGTTCCATTGGCGTAACATTCTACCTATCTCGAAGAATTCAATAACCGCTCTTAGGCCAATAATCTCCTAACAGGAAGTGAGAAATTCTGCTGTGAACCCATCCGGACGGGGAGCTTTGTTCCGCGGGAGATTGAAAACTTCATATTTAATCTCCTCCAAAGTAGGAAGCATAACCAAGGGTTTGCCAGAGACGGGGGGCATTTGAAAGAGAGCAACTGACGAGCAGATTCAAGCGGCCAATCCACAAGAGAAGGGTCGCGGCTTCCCTGAAGAGAGGTGAAATACTCCACCGCCATGCGTTTCATTGTCGCAAGGTCATAAGTTTTGTTTCCTGCATCATTAACCAGAAAACGAATAGAATTAGTCGCCTTGCGAGCCACAGAAACCCTGTGAAAGAACTTAGTGTTCTGGTCCCCCTCTTTAAGCCACTTGAGACGCGATGTTTTTACGGTGGAAAGATTCCTCCGCAGCTGCCAGTTTTGCCCAAGTAGCACGGGCTTCTGCCTCAGCCCTTGCTGAAGAGTCTACGTACTTCAGCCTCCCGGGGATTGGAAATTTTATTTCCTCCGGCAGAAGCTGCGATTACGGCGGCAGCTGTTACCATAACCAGAAAACTGGCCACCTTAAGGTTAATCAGGGGAAGACGAAAAGCCAGGATCGAATCCAAGGCCTCGAACAAAAGTTTTCTTTGATATTTTCCTCGCTAACTCTCTTGGAAATCTATCGGCAAGGATATGCTGAATTTATAGGCGTGGGGTGCGTGATTTTTCCACAAATGCTGATGACATACTTCGCGGAAACAATGTTTTTAAAAAAAAAAAAAAAGTGGGCATGGTTACTATTGTTCTTCCGTTCCTTGGCCTGTTGAAGGAAACCTAACATTTTTAGGCACAATTACCAAAAATATAATTACAAATAAATCATTAATAAGCAGTCCAACCCTCAAAAAAAGAAAAAAAGAAAGAAAAGAGAGTACAATTAAATAAATTTCTTAATCAATATAGTGTTTCCAAACTATATACAAGGGTAAATGTGACGCCCGAAACCCGCGTCCCGCAATACGAGTTGCGTCACATGGACAAGTAAAATAAAATCACATTTCCAAAAATCCGCGGGAATTTAAAACTTTTCTTTTCAAAGTTGAGCGGAAGAAAACATTCATACACATATATGATACATTATTCTGGAGATAATTATACATAGTCGATTGGTAGTGATAAAATTATTACAAACTGCGAAAGTCTACCACCGATATAATACAAACCGTTTCCCAGTTATAAATGTATCAAAATACGTAATTATACATGATAGGTATGTCTCCGATGTCCGCTCCTCGGCTACTGCTGCTCACAATCTGAAACGTTGCGTAACAACGTCCTAAGCTAATTGCTTAGAGAGTGAACTCGGGCGTAACCCAGAGTTTCATTCTCATGGTGTCAGGGAAAACACATACATATATATATATATACTAGTATTCTAGTAAACAGGAATTGAAAACAGGAAATCACAGTAAGCATGCAGCAATCACAATCAAGTCCGTACGACAAGTCGCAGGACATAGTCTGTCAAATCGTCTCTACGCGCACCATGCGTAGGTAATGTACTCCCCATGTGCATAACACAACCACCTCTCTCCTCGGATTCCATCTACTCCGCAACCACTCGGAATCCGGCATAAGTATCTTTTTATTTTCTCCACCCGATCACATCACCCCACCCTAGCATCGATGTCACCTCTCGATGCTAGGCGTGTCACCCGACTCCGACATTGATGTCACCTCTCAATACCGGAGCTCACCAGACGTCGGCTACAACCGACGCCATCGACTATAACGAGA